TTCTTATCTCATTTTATCTTCTGATCTCTTTTTAAGAAACATCTACAACTGGCAGAATAGATGAAACAAACTTACTAACAATTTTAGCCATTTATTTCCCTCACTTCTGCTTGATAAGTTGAGTTTAGAAGGAGTATTCTCTTGCACAACTGGTAATTTTTCCATTTATCGTCTGTCATCTTTTCCCTCAAAAACGAAAAGAACTGCAGATGTTATAAATCAGGAACAAACAGAAGTTGCTGGAAAAGCTCATCAGGTCTGGCAGCATCTGTGAGGGGGGGAAAAAGATTATAGTTAACGCTTCGGATCCAGTGACCCTTTCTCAGAACTGTTCCTGTTCCCTCCAGTTGGCTGAATGTGTTCTTGTGTTGAACTTGAACTTTGACTCCAAACAGAATCCTTGTTGAACTTTGAAAAAGAATCTAAGTTTAACGTTTGGGATATGTGGAGCATTTATTTCCTCTGTACTTTTAATGCCGTTTTCTGAACTGGAAAGTTTCAACTACTTAGCTTCCCATCATCACCCTTCCCTGTCCTTCCCATCGTCCAAATTAAACTCTCTTCTCCCTTGACTCCTCTCATTTCATTTGAGAATTGGCTATCTGTCGAAATCCCCTTTGAATCTATAACTACCTTCTTTGCACTTAATGCCGTCATCCTGCCTTCCTGAGAGGATTGTACATCAACATATGCAACCTTCCATACTAGCACTGATCCCTTGTTCATAGGGGCATCACCCCTACTCAGCAAGGTCCTTGATAAGGTCTTGACTGTGTCTGTTCCACTTATCTCTTTGCCCCTCTAAAAGCCCACAGCAGTGTTCCCATGACCTCTTCATCCTACTAGGCTGTCTTGTTGTTCAGTACATCTTCCACTGCTTCCACCAGCTCTCACTGCCACCACCTAACACATCTTCTGAAAGAACTGTATCCTCTGACACTGGTCAACTCCTGGCCTCATTCCAACAGCCTCTGCCCTTCTCATGGCACCTTCCTATGCAAACATGAGAAGCTACAATTGTCTTACCTGCTCACTGCTGAAAACCCAGTCACATGTTTGAGGTGAAATAGCAATTTACTTGTATCACTGAATTTTATAATGTATAATTTGCTGCTTATGATCCTGCTTTCGTTATATCTGGTAGATTAAACTCAATTTAGCTTTCCATCGCCTTTTCATTTTAATTCTCCACTCCCACCTTGGCATCAATGAAGCTTAATATTGGCTCAAGGAATAGCATTGTATCTTTTGAATCAGCACTCTACGGCCTTCTGGGCTGGACGTTTAAGTTTTAACAATTGTAACGTTTACTCCCGTTTTATGTTTTTGATTTTTGCATGGTGGTTGTTGGTAATAATTTTGCATTTTCCAAAGAATGCATTTCCTTGAGGCACCTTCTGTTTATCTGATTATCCCATAACAATTTGATACCCTCTTCTTTTTTGATCTTATCATTCACTTTCCTTTCCTTCCATTGTACTTGCTTTAAAAGTATTACATGTCTTAACTTTTTCCTGTGCTGACGAAAGATCATCGACCTGAAATATGAACCTGTTTTCTCTCTGTACCGATGTTGCTAGACCTGCTGAGGATTTTCACCATTTTCTCTTTTTTTTTGTAAATCAGAATTCCAGCATCTTCACTATTTTGTTTCTGTATTGTCCATTTCCTCCTCTGGGTCAGCTACTCACTGCCCTTATCAGCTATCCTGATTTTTGATTTGAAGTGTACATTTACAGACCTTTTTCTGAGGTGAGTTGCCCCAAGGTTTAGGGGCTTCAAGTTGTTTGTTTGGAGGGTTGTGATGTTTTTATTTCATGTTAGTCAAGGACACAGAGTTACTCCATACCATGTGGATCCTCCTGTTCCTTAGTGGTCTGATTTCAGAAATCACTGGAACAATACTGCACTGGATGGAATCGTAATAAAATACTTTATTACTTCAAAGAACCTGTTGAAGAGGCTGAGCCACCAACAAAGAAGAAAAAGAAGAAAGAAAAGAAGCAGGAAATAGATGTAAAGCAGGAAGAGGAGGAACCATCAACTTCATTTGTTACAGAGGAGGTAAGAGCATGGGGATTCAAGTATTGTGGAGGTGATAGTTAGACCTTGGGTGCTGTTGGGATTTTGGTAATAAACTGATTTGGGTTGGTGATTGATTCAGGGACAGCAAACAGGGTTAAATGAAGCAAGGGCTAATAAGTTTTTTTTGTTGCAAGGGTGTTTACATGCAAATGAGGAAATACAAAGAACAATACAGCACAGGAACAGGCCCTTCAGCCCATCAAGCCTGTGCCGATGCCTAGTCCTTATTTAGACCCACTACTTATTTCTGTCACTGTTCACCTGTTTATGTATCTATCAAGTTACGCCCTGAAAATTGCTAACATGCCTGCTTTGACCACCTCCACTGGCAGTGCTTTCCAGACACTCGCCAACCTCTGAAAAATTTTCCCCACACTTCTCCCCTAAACATTCCCACTCTCACCTTGAGCCTATGCTCTTTTGTAGTTGATCTTTCACCCTGGAAAACAGCCTCTGACTATCCACCTATCTCTTCCCCTCAAATTTTGTAGACCGCCATCAGATTGCCCCTCAGCCTCCTTTCCAATGAAGACAGTTTATCCAACCTCTCCTCATGCCTAAAACCCTCCAGACCAGGTGATTCTAGTAAACATTTTCTACGCCTTCTCTAGAACATCCACGTCCTTCTGGTAGTGTGGCGACTACAACTGCACACGTTATTCTGTGTAACCTAACTAAAGCTTTGTACAGCTGTAACATAACTTGCCAACTTTTATATTCGGTACCCTGGGTTGATGAAAGCAAGCATGACTATCTGATCAACCTCTGTTGCTGCTTTCAGGGATGTGTGGACCTGTACAACCAGATCCCTCTATGTTAATGCTGCTCAGGATTCTGCCATTTATTGTATAATTGTCATCTGAATTTGTTTTTCCAAAATGCATCATCTCGCATTTTGTCCAGATTGAACTCCATTTGCTATTTCTGTGCACAAATCTGTAGTTTAACTATATCCTGCTGTATCCTTTGACAATCCTCCTCAGTATCTGCAACTCTGCCAATTTTGGTGTCATTTGCAAACTTGCTAATTAGACAGCCTAATTTTCTTCCACAACTAAGGTCCTCCAGCATTGATACCTGCAGACCATTAGTTACTGATCTCCATTCTGAAAAGCACCCTTCCATCACTACTGTCTTCTATGACCAAACCAGTTCTGTGTCCATCTAGCCAGTATACACCCTAGATCCCATGAAACTCTTATTGTACCAGCCTGCCATGACAAACCTTATCAAATGCCTTAATGAAGTCCATGTAGGCAACATCCACTGCCCTTCCCTCAATCATTCTTGTTACTTCCTCCAAAAAAGTGTCACATGACACTAGGTTATAGTCCAACAGGTTTATTTGAAATCACAAGCTTCCAGAGCACTGCTCCTTCATCAGGTGAAGTCTGACACTTCATCTGAACAAGGAGCAGCACTCCAAAAGCTTGTGACTTCTGACTTTGTGCAACCCAGTCCAACACCGGCCGTCCTCCACATCTCAAAAAAACTCAATCAAGTTGATGAGACATGACCTTCCCTGCACAAAGCCATGCTGTCTTTCACTGACAAGTCCATTCCCTTCCAAAGTGAATAAATCCTGTCTCCGTATCTTCTCCAAAAGCTTCCCTGTCACTGACGTCAGGCTTGCTGGCCTGTAATTACCTGGATTATCTGCTTTCCTTCTTAAACAAAGGAACAATGTTGGCCATTCCCCAGTCCGCTGGAGCTTCACCTGAGGCTGAAGAGAGTGCAAAGATATCTGTTAAGGCCCCAACTATTTCCCCCCTTGCCTCCCACAGTATCTTGGGATACAAGTATTAACCCAATTATGTAAGTTTTTTTTCTTGAGGTCACAGCTAGCATTCTGTGCGGGTTAGATCTCCTTCCTGTAGGAAAATGACATTTGCATTGGGGAATTGCGATTTAAGGTTTACTAGACTGCAGATGGCACAGTGGTTAGCACTGCTGCCTCACAGCACCAGGGACCTGGGTTCGATTCCAGCCTCGGGTGTCTGTCTGTGTGGAGTTTGCACATTCTCCCAGTGTCTACATGGGTTTCCTCTGGGTGCTTCGGTTTCCTCCCACAGTCCAAAGATGTCCAGGCTCGATGGATTGGCCATGCTAAATTGCCCGTAGTGTTCAGGGATGTGTAGTTAGGTGGGTTATAGAGGTGTGGGTCTGAGTGGGATGCTGTGAGGTTTGGTGTGGACTTGCTGGGCCGAAGGGCCTGTTTCCACACTGTAGGGATTCTATGATTCCACCGAGGTCTTAGTCAAATCGTTAATTTTTCGTTCTTGATCCATAAATGTTGCCAGACCTGCTGAACATTTTGTTTTTATATAATCATTGCGTGTAGTAATTAATGTTTTGACTTTTTTAAAATTTCAGATCCCAGAAAAGAAGAAGAAGAAGAAAAAGAAAATGAAAAATGAGTGATCTGTATCCAGTAATGGTAGACTGTAATTCTGCTGTTCAAAGCTCCACTCAGCCCTGATGGTGCTTTTTATTCAAAAGGAGAAAAATGTTTTTGTTATGCAGGATGTATGTTTTTTGATGGCAGTTATCGGAACCATTCAATTGAAGACTCCTTTGGTGTGAGAAATGGACTATAATTTTCGATGCTGATGCAGTTTCACATTCCCGCACCCCCCACACTGGTCAACTATAAACTGTTGCCCAAAACATTTCACTACTTCCTGTAACAGTAGTAATTAGAATAATGGATGTTTTATCAAATATTTTCCTTTTGTGCAGATAGAACACACTGACCGTTTTTTGAAAATTATTGGCTTTTTAAATAATGTTTTCAGTAAAAGTGTCTAAGAACTCAGCTGGTGCATGCTTTTCAAGGAAGGAAACCTTCCCATTCTTATCTGGACTGGCCTATACGTTTCCACCTTCACCTAAGATACGTGTAGATAGCAACTCCCAGATGGTCCTGAGTTTATCAGAATTTACTTCCTTTAGGCTGCTCAATATCCATCAGTTTACTTGTTCATGGAGAAACTTAGAACACTGACTCTGTTCGTACAGTAGCCAATAACAGTCATGTTTTAATGCTGAATTGGCTATTCTTAGCCAGAGTGATTATTGTACCTGACCACAGTTCCCTGGAAATGAATAGGAAAAGATTTTTGGCAGACTTTAATACCAGTCATTGTACAGGGATACATGCAAGGAAATGGCACTTGAGCAAAATTGGTGTCTTTTTCTGTTAGACGTGAAAGTATTCTGCTAGGCAAAATGTGCAAAGCTGCTGGTCATCGGGGAAATAACACCTGTCACTTTCAGAGGACTAGAGGCAATTGACAATACAACATTTAAGAATAACAATCAACATGGCTTTAAATTAAGGTGTAGAAAAAGCCAATCAGGTGGAGACCAACAGCACAAAAAAAGACAACTTGCTGCTGAGGGACTATCAGTCCAGAAGCTACATTGGGCGAACTAATTGCAGGTGTGCAGTGCTGGCAACAAAAATTGTGATAATGCTACCCAGGCACTGTTAATGTTATCTCTGCCAAAAAAGCAAAGGTGCTGTTAACGGGGGTGGGGAGGGAGAGTGAAGGGAATGGTGAGAGGGAGGAGTAAAAGGGAAGGCAAGACTGGGGAAGAGGGTTGGAGGCAAGGGGAGGGTGGTGGTGATTGCATGTTTTCATGAAACAGAATGCTAAGTAATTATTGCCTGAACACCACCTATATTATTTCACTTAATCTCATACTCATTTATTCTCTTGTCCTTTTTGGATTTCTCTTTTGCCTGTTTTTCAAATTGTATTCTGCAATTCACATTTCCTTTTCATAATTGTTCCAAACTGACACACTATCATTGTTAACCTAAATGCACCAATTGGATTCACCTTCCTCAGCAAAAAAGAGATAGATACAGTGGTCATGTCACTAGGCTAATGGCTCGAATGCATAACTTTAAATGCCACCAATGGTAGTATTGGAATGTTATTTTAATTCTTAAAAAAATCTATAGGCCATTTAGCTTAACATCTGTCATTGGGGAAGTGCTAAAGAATTATAAAGGGTGTAATAAAGCATATATTTAGAAACAATATGATCAAGCAGAGGATCATAATGAAGGAGAAATCATGCCTGGTGAATTTATTAGATTTCCTTGAGATAACAAGGAGAAACTGTTGATGTAATGTATTTGGATTTCTAAAAGGCATTTGATGAAGTATTTGCACACAAGGTTATTTAACAACAGCCCACATTGGCATGGATAGAGAATTGTTGAGTTGATAGTTGGTATAAGGTGGGCATTTGTGATGGCAGCTTGTAACTAATGGAGTGCCAGAGGGATCAATGCTGGTGCCACATTTCTTTCTAACATGTATTAAGTGCCATGAAGGAAGCAAGTGTGCTGTCACTTAATTTACAGGTACGCAAACTTGGATGGAAGGTGAGGAGTAAGGATGACAGACTGTAGAGTTTTGGATAGCCTAAATGAGGGGCAAAAACTTGGCAGATGGAATAAAATGCGAGGTTATGCAATTTGGCAAAAGTAATAGGACTTAATATTTAATTTGAGAAAGCTGCAACACATGGAATTTGGAGATCCGTCAGACAAGTTCAAGTAATAATGAAGGCAAGTGGATATCGATCTTTATTTCAAAGAGAATGGGATATGAAGTCTTGCTAAAGGCATCAGTTAGACCATACCTAGAACATTGAACAGTTTCAGTCCCCTTATTTAAGGCAGGATACTAGCACTGGATACAGTCTGGAGAACGGTTATTGGCTGCTACCAGATTTGGAGGGAATGACTGTCTTATAAGGAGTGGTTGAATAGGCTTGGCCTGTATTGGAGTTAGAAGATTGAGAAACCTTATTGAAATGTAATATTCTCAGGAGGCTTTCCAGGGTAGATGCAAATGTTGGTGCCCTTGTTGGAGAGTTGGGACCAGAGAGCATAATCTAAAAATAAGGGGTCGCCCATCAGACACCAATTACAAGCAATTTTGTCTCAGTTGTGGTTCTGCCAAATTGTTCGTGGTTAACTATATTCAAGATTGAAAGAGAGGGAATCGAGGGTTCTGGGGAAAAGAGTTCTGTTATCAGATCAGCCATGATCTTATTGAATGGTGGAGTAGGCTCAATAGCCTACTTCTACCTCTTAAGACTCTTACAGTCTGAGATGTGCTTTATTTGCATCATCACAACATTACCAACAGGTGGCAGAATTGCACTTTGCAATATATTGCAGAAAAACAAATGTTGCTGCAGTCAATTGCTGTAATCTATCCTTGTTCAAAAAATGGGAATGTGACCAACTATTGGTGAGAAAATTAGACAATTGTCCAGTAGAATTAATTCTCACTTGGAGCATTGGTTAATAAGAGATGAGCACTTATTTTATGAAAAGAATTGATATTACAATGACGAATAGACAGCATGGCTTCCTAAGGGAAGGTAATCTTTGAATTTTTTTTCTCTTATTCTTCCAGAGGATGTTGGTGTTACGGACTCAGCCAGCATATAATAGCCATCTCACATTGCCCTTGAGGTGATGGAGCTGTCTTCTAGAACCGCTGCAGTAGCTGTGGTTTAAGTACATCTCACAGGGTTGATGGGATGGATTTCTAAGATTTTGATCTTACCCGCTGATGAATTGCTGCAGTGCGTTTTGTCGATAGTACTAGTAATGTGTACCATATGGCATCAACAGAGGAGGGAATGCTCAAGGTGGTCAATGTGGTGCCAAAAATGGAGGCTGTTTGTCACAGATGGCCTCGAGTGTCTTGATTGTTGGAGTTGCTCATTAGGCGAGTGAGGAGTACTCTGTCACACTCCTATTTTATACTTTGTAGATAGTGGGTAGTTTGGGGAGTTACAAAGTGAATTCCTAACCTTTGATTTGCTGTGATCGCCACAGTATTTATATGGCTGGGCCATTATAGTTTCCTGTCAATGGTTATCACCAAGTCTTGCTGTATTTGGATGTGGACTGCATACCTGAAGTCACTTGTGATATTTTAGTTGCCTACTCAGTACATTCTGTACCCTTGCCTCTCTGATTCTTTCAATTGGTGTCCAACATGCTTGAATATAGATTAATTCACTTGGAATTGGGAGATAGGTTCTAATAAGCAGGAGGTTCACATGCCCACATTTAACCTGATACCTCAGGACTCCCATGTGGTTTATAGTCAATGTTGAGGACTTCTGGGGCAATTCTGCACTCACTGTATTCTATTCTACCACCACTATTTGTTGGCCTGTCTTCTTACAAGGACAGGACATACTCGAGGATAGTGGTGGGGCAAAAACAGAAATCACTGCAAAAACTCAGCGGATCTGGCCGTATCTGTGGAACGAAAACAGTTAACATTTTGGACCCAGTGACTCTTCAGAATAATAATGAAGCTAATAGTGTTTACTGTTAAATACATTGAATAACTTTGTCAATGCACAAGTGTAGAATTTTGGAAGTTGAATCTGAGAGTCCCTGCTTTTGAGTGGTGTTTCAAAGCATGAAACCCCAAAATACAATAAAAATATTAGGGTAGGTGATATGTTGTAGCTACAGTATGTGGGACACCAGTGATCCATAATAGCCATGTCTGCCACTTGAGGTACTCTGCTAGATTCTGAGTTTTATGCGCTCCAAAGCATCAGAGAGGAAGGTGGTTACCCAGACACTTTTTAATCCAGAAGGCAGTGATACCACTTAATCAAACACTTGGCTACTTGGGTAGACTACTTGGGTAGAGAAGAGCAGGGACAATAGGGAGTTTGAACAAGCTGACTTTCCCACCACAGTACAGAATCAAATACGGGTATTTCGAGTTGTAAGGAGTAAAGGGGGAGGTAGTTGTAGCCTGGGATAGTCTATTCAATGGGCGGGGGAGGGGGATGCAGATCCTGTCCTCTGCAGCGGAGGGCATGAATCCCAAAAGTTGTTTTGCTGCCCTAGTGCTGGGGTTAAAGTAGTCTCCTCAGGATGAGAAAAGAACTGGCAGAGGAGGGATCCATTTGTCAGGATCTCCATGGGTTCCAATAACATAGGACTAGTAAAGAATATCTGCTGAGGGATTATGAGCAGCTAGAGGCTAAATTTGAAAAAAAGCCACAAAAGGTGGTGGTCTCATTATCTGAGGCATGGCCAAATTGGCATGGAGGAAATAAGATTGGAGATCTGTATCTGGTTCAGAGATCATTGTGGAAGAAATTCGTTTCAGTGCATGGGGCCCTGGGCACTCGTACTGGCGAACAATAGAGCCTTTCGATTAGGATGGAACCACACTGGCATTGGTGTCCTTGTGAATTTAATTATTAGAGTTGTAGGGAGGGCTTTAAATTAAACAGTTATAAAGGATTCATCTGAGAGGAGATTTAATGAGAACTGATTATGTCATTGTGCTAGTTTAATATGTACAAAGTGCAACAGGAAGGAACAGCATAAAAATGAGTGCACCAGCAAATAGGCTCACTAAGGGGGGAAAAATGGTAAAATGACAGACTGTTAATCCAAAATGCATGAAACGTTGAACTGAGATGGATGAATTGAAAGCAAATATAAAGAATAAAAATAATAGCCATTAAAGAGACATTGCCAGAATGTGACCAAATCTGGGGCTAAATATTCAAGCATATTTAATTTTGTTTTTGAAACAATGGGGGGGGGGGGGGGAGAAGGAAAAGGAGGTCAAGTAGCTTGTTAAAGGATGAGAAGTATTGTAAAAATCACTTTTGCACTGTGGACTTAAAGGAAAAGATACTGCTGCTACTGAAATTACGGAAGTTTTTTGTCGTTCAACTTGTGGAATTTGGCCAACACTTGTTGCCTGTCCTAGATGCCTTTGGGAAGGTGGTGGT